TGTTTCGACATAATCATATAACATGTCGTGCTAAGGGTTACAGATACTCTGAAGAAACTCTTTCATATTGCTTCAAACCATCCTCCTTTTAAATGTGTACTGTCGCTGTAGATACTTACTTTAATCGAATTCAAATAATTAACCCAACGACTGACTGTTAGGTTCATCTATTCCTCCAATGGTTAATTTGTCAGGGACTGTAATTGTTTTGGCTACTGCATCTATATTGCCTCCAATCATCTCTGTATGTGACACTTCCAAGCTGAAAACAGTCTCATGCAAAGTGATTCTTTTGCTACCCGGAGCTCACAACCAGTCCCTTCCCTTTTTATTGTAGTTCTACGTATTTTATGTTTAGTAGTCAGCCCTGATTGTATTTTCTCTTGCCGGTTACTTTCCTTAGGATATAATTGCTGACTTCGTGAGCAAGACACCATGCTCACTATCGAACCCTTGGTTCTCTCTATTTAATCCTTTACTCAATACTAAATCAGTAGAATGAAAGTCGTGCAGGAAAATTGATGCTATTGATAAAACTCAAACTCATTTCCATACTATTTCATCGCATCTCGTCCACTTTTAATGGCCCACTTTAACCTAGTATATCGGAGTTCCACGTTGACTTTCTATCGGAACTTCTGCCTATCTTCCTAGTTGATAGTCGGGAGTGTAGACTGGGCCCCCCCTGTGGAGATACCGCAGGGTATTTTTCTTTTGAAATGGTTATGATGGCAACACGGAATGTTGGTGGGTACGTAGCATGCGTCCCACCAGGACCTAGCTGGCCTTTTTCTCTGTTCTACCAATGACTTGGTGCGGTGTACAAGGAGGGAACGCCGCAGGACTTCTCGTGTAGCATCTCCCTCTTTTATCAATATTGCCTTTTTGAAAGTGTCCTCCTGGTGGTTGTACTGGAGGGGTGCGGTGGAGTTCGCACATTTGTTTACCATTTTTTTGACAGAAATCTTGGCATGCATGCGACGTGAATAGACTGCCGTTGTTAGATTCTTTGCACTCTGAAGTATTTTGGCAGGCGAAAGTCTCTGCAATTGCTGCTGTGATTCGGTTGCCGGGGGCTGTGGCGATAGAAATACCTAAATTGTGTTTAGAGAGTATCAGCTATACATGGGATACTTAGATGCATAAAAAGTTAAGTAACTATGCTGATGAGGGTTATCTGACTGGCTCGAGTGGTGGAACATTGTCATCCCCTTCGGTTTCTGAAGTAACTTGCCTTGTCCGTATCTCTGAATGACATACCAAAAACTTGGTTTGTTACGAAATCAAGATGGCTAACCCGTGCTGTAAAAATACGATGTAGCCCACAATATTTTTAATTAGGACTTCCAGTGGTATACCGCGTTTGGCCTTAGACACGAACTTCCTCCTAAGCTATCTGTGACCATCAAACTGCGGTACACGAGGGGATGGCCACTCACAGTTGGGTTTGATGAGAGCGTATTCATAATTTACTCCACCCTCAAGTTATAGTGTTTGCTGACTCAGGTTTGAAAGAATTGCAACTCGTAAGTAACTTGGAGTTCTACCTGTTTAACGAGCATTTACATGCACATGACGTATAGAGATTATGATGAAGCGGTGTTGTAGGTGAACAGGGTATTCTGGTGGAATGCCATCTCAACTAGAGGTTTTTATGTTCATCTTGCGTTCCTAGATCAGTTGCATTGTGGTATCGGTGTAAGCTTTTCGGCTATATTGAATACGTACTGACAAAAACCATGTCTACGAAAAGGTCTTCTCCAACTAGGTGGTTCTTACCTATGTGAACATAAGACAGATATCCACCCAGTATACTCATTGTATATAGGAACTGTGAACTTCATTGTTTCAAATGAGGAGGAATTTGACGCCGGCACGATGAATCTATTGCAGAAAGTTATACTCCAGGGAAACAATGACGAAAGTGCTCCAGATGGTCTACATTTCTTCAAGAGTTCACCTGACTCTACATGAATGCCCTAGCGTTGCGCATTTTACCAAAATTGTGTGTGCTCCTAGAGGAATCATTCGTGAATTTCATCATCATCATCATCTTAGGTCTATCAACTCTTACATCCCTACTGATTTCAAATTCCTTCTTGAATGAAGACTTTCGAGCCTATTTTATGCATACCAGAATATACTGGGGTGTATCAATCAGACCAAGCGATTCTCAAAATGTCTAACTCACATGAAAGTGCATTCGACTCTTATGAAAACTGCGATGGTATAGTTCACTGTAGTTAACTAAAATTAATTTGCCCGGACACACTGAATACCAGTCTCAACTACAAAGACATGGCAGCCAGTGCAAACTTTACTTTGCACTTTCTGCGTGGACGGCTCGGCTTCCCGGCCCCCAAACTGTTTCTCACAGTTTTCAAACCCTATGCAAGGCCGCACCTAGGCGTCTTGAATGTGATAACGCCCTCAAAACTCAACAGAGGCTTCAAACTCCTCGAAAAAATGCAAAGACCCGCAACAAAATCAGTTGAGGGACTACGAGGAAGGCATGCTCTGAAAGACCAAAACATCTCAATCTACTCACTTCGGGTTATTGCAGAAAGAGGCATGATCCGATTGTAGCAATAAGTGGGTACACAGCCAGTATGATGAGGATACACCGGACTAACGCTACGCCTTCATGGCGCGCTACCCGTGCACGTGATTCCTGTACATCTGCCCACACTCCCGTACAATGCCACTTGCTTAGGTAGGCCGTGAAAGATACCGCCGTGGCTGCTGTGAAGCCGGCATCCACATAGAGCACCACCACAGGTCCCAGCGACAAGTGTTATCACCGTTCCTCGGACGGTCACACCTCTGAGTGGGCCAAAAAGACCCAAACGAACAACCACATTAGCCCCTAACCCTGAAGTCGATTTAACGGCTACCCCTACCCCACATCGGGACAGCCGGGTCTCTATGAAAAAGAAGGCGCACACTCCACAAAACCCACTCGCAGCACACGACAACAGGGACACTGGTGATAGTTCAGATTCCGTCATTCTATTTAACATCCCTGCTTGTCATGATAGCCTTCTTGAGAACAGAGTCTTCTAGCAAACAGCAATGGCAAGCGGCACGCGCGATTCTGGGGCTGGATAGCGTAGAAGTAAAGGTGCACAGGCTCTACAGAGGCAACTGCTGACCTCAGGGAAAGCCACTGCCGATGAGAGTGACCCTGAGCCTGGCCAGGGAAGCGGAAAGATTCTTGTTTCTGTCACACACTAGTCATCAACTGGTCATCAGCATTTGGGCCAGGTCAAACCTTGTCAGCGAGAAACGTGTGTTGCGAGGCACTCCATGGACTGAAACTAATAACCATGGCTGTTCACGGTATACCGGGACTAACAACCGGCGCGTTAGTAGAGAAGCATGCTAGCGACGTCCAGCAGCGGTAGTGGCTATCAGTGAGTATGGGGTTAAATAGGATGGCGGCGGCGGTCTGAAGACTGCTACGTCCCTCTAATTTGACGAAAATAACATCACCCAGGTAGATGGCTTTTAATTTCGGGTGTCAAGAACTTCTCAACAAAAAGCCACAGACTTGGTACACAGTTAAGGATGACATCAACGGGAACGTTGGCCGCTGAGAAGGCAGGTCCAAAACACTGAGACTATAGCGAGCGACAGCCCCGCCCAGTGTCGACGTCGCTGTCAACAGACACGATATCTAAACCGGCCTAGATCCCATGAAATCCCAAGAGATGAGTGTGGAAAAAAATGAGATTGAACGGGTTCAACTGAAGCAGGCCGTTATGTAGCAAATTACGCCATTGCGCACCACCCCTTTCACTCTGCCGCCGCCAAGACACCCCACCTTTTTGGAGACGTCTTCAAGTATGAGGGGACTCAGAGGTGGGATGGAGGAACCACGATCTCTCTCTTCCTACCTTTCTCAGAAGACCATATCCCTAACGGAAACTCGGTCATCACTGGTTATTAGTGACGTCGAAACTAGTCTAGGCGGCATGCGCCTGTTCAGGAGAGACAAGAAGTTTAAGAAAAGTGGTGGAGTGGAGTGGAGTGGAGTGACCATTTAGAAGTGAACGAGCCACTGAAACTACTTTCAGAGCGTCCAGCCTCCATCTGGTGTCACTTTGCGGTTAGACACACCAAGTACCTGGTAGAAGGCGTCTTCAAGTAGTGTCTGGAGTGACGTCTATAGGATGTGACCTGGTCATTATGGCCAGGGGCCCTGACGCTGCAATCCCCAATCTTGGGTGAGACAGGGGAACCTCGAGCGGGAGGTTCGAGCGGAACTTACTCAACACTATCGAAAAGGCTGGACGGCATGAAGATACTAGCGGTAACACTCTCTGGGGGTCCCGCCCCTCAAACACCCTGGCGGCCGGTGGTAAGTGCACAACATGTCGGGACCTCCAAATTCCTGTTCACGTTACTTTCAAGGAGTTCGCTAAGGCTTTTGACGCAGACCTGCACACCATTCTTATCCGCAAAATGTGTGACGCTACGATGTGTTCATTTTTTCCTTCGCATTTCCTCACCTTCGGTTTTTCTGAACACATTTTACATCTTTTTGCAACTAGTGTGACCTGTATTCTGGTTGCATGACATTTGTGGAATCCATATGAGCCACAATACTTGAAATTACCTCACACTCAACAGACGTAACCAACACTCTACCGCCCTCTGGACCAACTAGTCTTTTGGGTAGAACTACTGCATCAGAATTCACCAAAGACATGGAAACATTCCGGGGGACATAGAGGCGTGTGCGAAGATATCAACTGGTTTACACTACCTCATAAAAAGATATTGGACACTCGACTTTCTACGCATACACTTTCAATCTTGGGAGATGGAAGTAATCTGTCAGAAGGTTGATCCAAGTATATCATGACAAAAACTTTTATATCCGTACAAAATTTTTTCTTCAGAAACACAGGTCTGAATTTGAAGAGCTGTCACTGCAGTCTTCGCTGATCGCAAAGTAACCTTAAGCCCATAGCGCCATAATTAGTTGAGGTGAACACATGTTCGAGGTCAGCAAGGTTCGGCGGAAAAGGGCTCGAAGATCTCGTGACAGGGTCTGTGCAGTTGATGACTCTACTGTAACGAAAATTTCCGTCACAAGTTTTGCGTCAAAATGTGCCAAAGTGGTTGTTTATCAGCCAAAGTGTTCAGTGGACCGTTCATGCTCTTGTTTCATCCTATTGACACGTCCAACACAACTTGCCCTTTTCGGCAGAGCGAAAGTAATGCACCTCTGTGGACCAAGCATCCATATACTAGGTGGTACTATGGAACCAAATCTTTCCACTTCCTTCAATGTATTTTCTTCTACCTCGCACACACCTATATCAATCAAGCAGTCGGATGATGCAGCTAAGGAAAATGCAGCCACAAGACTTCTGTCTCTAGAGGTGAAACTCGCAGTTGAAAGCCTCTGTGAACCTGGTGACGCCTGCTCTATTATTGAATCTCTTGTCGCTGAACTGGATTCCTTTCAAAATTCTGCTTCCGTTTTGCATTTCAGTCCCTTTTCAAACCGCGTTCTTGATTCCGTCACTGAAGTGAAGCGATTTCGCTTTTTATTTCATTTGCCATCAGAAGGCACAGTGCCAGGTATCTCTTTAGCCCATTCTCTTGGATTTAATTTTCTTGAGCATGATGGTAGCTTAGGCTACCAAGTCGTACCGGAGATCTCAAATATTTCGGTAAGATTTGGTAGCATCTCAGTGGACAAATCGTATAAGAGGCATGTGAATAAAATTCTGATTTGTGGTCCGAAAGGTGCTGGGAAGTCGTCTCTCTTACGTTTCTTATCAAACACAATTCTTACGGATACGAGCTGTCCTTCTGAAGAGCGGCGCGTTGCAATACTTGATTGTGATGTTGGGCAGCCTGAATTCACACCGAGTGGAATGATTAGCTTATCACTTCTTAGACAACCACTATTTGGGCCTCCATTTACTCATCTGTTTTCTGCTGATATGGATATAATTCGGTGAGTTTTCTTCATCCTGAAAACAATGTGTACCCAACTTGTATGCTAAGTGCAGTTATTTCAGTTGTATTTCTAATGCTATCAGTTAGATGTTAAGCATACAAAGCATTCAGTGTGTAAACTCTGACTACCTTTACTAAAAATCCATTTTATTTCATTTACGTTACTTTTTTGTTGAATATGATGTCTGGAAAGTTAATTTTTGAGATTTTTTGCGTTGTTTTAAAATATGTGCAAGTAAAGAACATTGCATGTATAAATGCCTAGAAGACTAATGACAGCGTCTGCTGTACCTTATTTTATTGTTTATTTACTATTAGCTATTAGTCATGATTTACAAATAAGACTCGATGCATAATTTCACTGAACTGAGAAAAATGGTTTAGATAATCAAAAGCACGATCACTCTTTGTAATTAAGTTGGATATCAGTGTACCGTGACTGCTGATATATTTGACCTGATAAACGTCGGTAATTATTTGGCACTTCATTAACGTTGGAGATAACAAAATTAATAAAATTTAGTTTACCTCCTGATAAATAGACCACACTCCAGAGTTACTTATCATCAAGTATAACCGTTTTATTGGCTTTGATTATATTCTCGAGCAAAATTTCTCAAGACCGGAATATTCTTCGAAACAGCTGCTCAGTGAAGAAGTATCCATTTTTATCTTTGACTCTTGGTTTTCACTGTTAAGCTAGATATGAACGTGTTGGCCACCTCATTTACTTAGAAGGGCGAATCAGCCATGCTGGCTTCGTGATCGATGAAGTATCTGTATACAAAGGCTCGATGGACTTTGCCAGTTGACGCTAACTGTGACATCTCCGTGCAACATTTTTCTCTGTCTTACTGTTCGATTGTGACAGCCGTTAAATATGTGGGACTTGTGATAGGTTCCGGTGTTTGACCACCGTTGCCTTCGTAGGATTTATCATGTGTCGTGGAATGACCGCTCTAATAACGTATAGGTCAGGCGTAGTATCAGATAAGTCGTATGATGAGATTGCAAGCCCTCATCGATGCTGGTCGCTGGGGGTAAGTACTTTCACAAGGATTCATCGTTTATTGTTCGAACCATATTTCAGTGGTTTGTAGCTTGGTGCATCTTGGATTTTTATACTGTTTTTCACCCAACTAGGATGAAATGTGTCACGAGCTTTTACAAGATTGGCAGGAGACAGGGCCTGCACTCTCTTTTCGTGGTAAATCAACAGAAGTCATCAAAAAGTATATGTATCTACTTGAACTCGTGCAGCGGTGTCAGAGCTTGTGTAAGTTGTCGCCTCCATTGATAAGCAGTGGGGTCCACCGAAGATGCCTGCTTTCACCTTTCCTATCTAAGCCGTCGTGTAAGTAACAATAAATAACTTTATGTACATCTAACTACTCTCTCTGGAAAGCATTCGGTTTACTTAATGAACTCAGATGACATAATCTTGTCAAGAAGATGCGCTGACAGTATGCGATATCGAAAGCATTACGAAACTATAAGAAAATCAGGTAGGTTTTCGGATACTTAACTACTAGCGAATTCGCCTCAAGGCCAGTCGACTCCCACTATTGTGTATTGGTGTCAACGACTAGGTTCGCCTAAACCGTTTCTGAATTAAGTCAAGTAGTTTTTCCTAGATTTCTCCATTTGTTTTTTCCAATCTGTAAGTTTTCTGTGATGCTTAATTTGTGTTGTATCCGAAATTTATTTGACTTGTTTGTAGTCAAATGTATGTTTATATGAATAGGTTTTATGAATTTTCTTACCGGAAGTGTGCAGGCGGTTGATACTGCCCGGTTTCTCACACCGTCGGAGGCTATTTCTTATTTAGGTACCTGAAAGAAAGAAAATATCCGTGTGACCACAGAGCCCTTGGGACATTTGTATGAGGCCTGTCACACAGCCTTTTGAGAATTGTTGGTGTGAGATATGATTGTCTTAACGCCGGCCAGAGAAAACCCATACTTCCGGCACTGGAAGACCAGAGGATGGGCAGAAGTATGTCATTTGGGAGGCCAACCTTTTCCTTCTCTCTCTTTACACAGGGAAAGCCGCATCAGCGTGGCGCTGCTAGTTATCCAAGGGAAACGTCTTACTGTTGTCACATCCCATCCAGCTAGCAGTAAGACTTTGCCCTTGAACCCCGTCATACTAGCAATTTACAGTACAACGTTAACTGTTTCTTGTTTTACCACTATTCACCAGACTCTTAAGGCATGGTAGAACCTCAAGGGTTCAAGTCATCCAGACAGTGCAGCTCGTCGGGTCATTGTGATATACAAGCCCAACCAACACGTCAGGGTAGCGGCTGTCAACTAGAGTAGAGAGGTGGAATGTGTCGACTACTTCATTGACTTGGGGAGTTGCATCAGCTCGAACGGGCTGGTTGTTGACGAAGTCGCAGCTTGGATACATAATTACCGTTTGGCAATTGTATCATCTCTTGCGCCGACAGGATATCTGAATATCTATCAAAGGTTGAGTATACTGTGGTGCAATCCATTCTGTCCTGTTTTACGGCTGTAAAATGGCCGCTAAAAGAATAAGAAGCGAAGGGATTACACGTATTTGATCACAAGTGTCTTCGTAGCGTTGCTCATGTTTTGTGGAATCACAGTGTAAACTGTGTAAAGATTAAGCAAAAAGCACTGAGCAAGTCAGTCGATGAAGTCTCGAACTTTTAGCGACGAGGTAGCCTGAACATGCACTGCCCATGCCGAGTCACCACCTACCTTGGTGTGCAATGTTAGCGGAAGTTGGATTAAATAGGACGGTGGCTGAGGGTGGCCAGAAAGAAATGTTGCACCAGTCTATGAAGTCCCTGACTGTTGTCTTGAGCCGTGTATGGAAGTGAAGACCACTTACTTGGGTTCACCGAGATAACAGTAATCAGTAATTGAGGGCTCTTGGTGACATGACACAGTCACAGTCGCAGATATATTCACGCCTTGACATCCAAAGCATGAATCTTTTCACTAATCTTTATTTTCAAATTCTTTATTCTTGCACACAACTTTGTCTACCTTGATGCCACTGCTATTCTTTTCATCTGTTCTTTGTATACTACTGTGAAGTGTGACAAACTGAACCGATGCACATATGCACGAGGTTCTTCGTTGATTCTGTCTGTCTGTATGTCTATGAGTTTTCTGTCGTATCCATTTTAAGTCAGGTATTTTCTTAAGATTAGCTTCCTCCGTTTCCTATATACTTATTGTGTTCATGGTTACATGCTTTGATTCTAGTCAGTGTTTTGTCGGGAGCATTTCACCTTCTGACGATCCCAATTTTACCTGAAATGTTTGGAGTTCATATTTGAGGCCTACATGAACTTGCCTGAACCTAAACCACGTCTCATAGTTAATACAATGGGTTGGATACAAGGTATGTTTCTCCTTATTATTGTATGATATTCACATTTTCATGTTCATTACAGTGTTTATTGTTCTCACCTGTATCACTTTAAAGCCTCTGAATCATAAGTTATTTTTCGAAAGCTTCGGTGATTTAATCCATAACCGTTTTTAATGATGAAAGAATACTACTGTTGGTAAAAATTCTGTAACATAGTCCAATATTTGTTTTATAGCGTCTTCGGGAACCACAATTTTTTTCATGTTGTTCCTTTGTTTGGTAGTTACGAGCAGACAAGTTAGGCAATGCCATGAAGTTAAGAGTCATTTTAATAAGCGTACAGGTTTACGCATTTAAGCATCGGACACACCTGCATTTGTGCGTGTATATAATGGGTGTTCAGTAACTCAGTAGAGTCGTCCAAAAATTTCCAGTATCACTATTATCATCCTATTTCACTGAAGATACATAAAATTGTCTCAGGATTGATCATGCGCTTAAGGTTACCGTTGTTTTATTATTGATATTTTCAAACATTTTGATGTGCGTTGTAGAATCATACTCTTATGCTGGCCTGAGTAGAAAGCAGATTTAGGATGAACTCAAGTTGATCAGATTGAAGTACAATACATCTATGCAGTTGTTAGCTCTAAGTTTGATTTGCATAGGTGATCATTGCTTTTCAGGTCCTGTTAACAAACAAACTGATTAGTAAAACAACGCATATTGTAGTAGATCTCAGTTTCTCTAGTAGATTCATAACGCATTTTCCTCCAAATTATAATGGCTTTTCATTCCTTCAGGAGAAGCGAAGTTGCGCAACGTCAGAAATTTATTTTTCTACTTCATTGGAGTTTTACAAATATATTTCATTTATAATCTGTTTACTCAATACTCAACTTATTCAACCCTATCAGGTCAAATTTTGATCTTGAAGTTTATAAAAACTTACATACAGCTTTGTATTGCTTGTCAATTATTTTAAATGCCTTTAAAATCTGGACTACGAGTCTTGTGTCCATCAAATGTTCACTAATGGAACTTTTAAGGCACTTTGGCTCCTTTAAGCTTAACTTATTTGGAATGTGTTCACCGAGTCTAGTCTCAGGCCTACTCTCTGTCCTTTCAATGTACGTGCTCTGACATGTACTTGTGAATTGATAGATTCGATTTCAGGTGACATGAGGCGGAAACCTGTCGACTTCCGGTTGTTCTAGTGAATACGTTTTGCATACGGAAACTAATTTAGCTGCTGGGAAGGTGATTCTTTAGTGCAGTTCTTATTCTTCTATCAACTTTGTTCATGAATTTATCTCCTCTGAAAGTCAGATGGAAGAATACAGGTTTCTTCTCGGGATTATCAAGTACACTCGTTTCCGATGTTATCATTTTGACTTTGACTTTATCTATAAATCTTTCAGGGTAACCATTTTTTTTCAAACATCTCTCGTTGAATTGAATTTCTTCAGTCAGTTTGTCTGATGATCAAAGTTTCTTAGCCCTTTGAAATAGCGTTTTAACTAGTTGTTGGTTATAACTCAAACAACAGAAACTGCTGAAATTGAGGTAGCTTCCACTCCACTATTCGTTTCTGTAGACAGATCTTTGACATGACCCATCTATTCCTCGTCAAAGTCCCAAGTCCAAAAAATGAAACTCACTGTTTGTCTCGTGTTCCATGTTGAACTTAATATTCATATATGCCCTACTAAGTATTTTTAGCAATGTTATCTCATGATTCATATCATTACATAAAGCAAACGTGTCTTCAACATACCTGTCATACTTTGTAGATTGACTGGTAGCTGTGGATAATGTAGTTCTTTCCAAGTTGGCCATAAATGGGTCCTCAAGGATAGGTCGCAAAGGATTTCCCATTGCCACTATATCTATTTGGCGCTGTAATCTGTTGTTGAATTAGAATTGCACATTCTTAGTGCACAAGGACGTTAACTTCTTATGTTCCGCCTCTGGTATGAATATTTCATCTGAGTATTGACAGCGGTATGTTGGTATACAATGCCGACATATAAGATATCATCAATTTATCTTTGATATTGGTTTCGTCTATTCTTTGCGCAAACTTAAATGTATCCTTCAGGCTGTAGATTTCTAGCTTCTTTCGAATTGGATCTAATCGAGTTGCCAACCATAGAGGCAGTTTGTTGCAGAGAGACTTGATCATAAACAGAATGAGTCTGAGTGGTACATTTGGTTTATGCAGCTTCGCTTGTCCATACATGAATGCCAAGCGTAATCCCCTTAGTTTCAGTTCTTCGTATATCTGACCATCGATAAATTTCTTCCTACCTACCTTCAGCTGAATTGTCGTAAATGGATCTAGGTTTGTCTTCCAGAGTAGATTGCATCTTTTGAATATAGTCGGATTTGTTCATCAACACTATGCCAGTGCCTTTGTCTGATTTGACAAGCACCGCTTGATCATCTCTTGAACATAAAGCTTTTTGATGGTTTTTGGTCAGGATTTTAGACTGAGATGATGGTGATATATGAAACTGGTTTTCTATATCAACTAACCCTGACTTGAACCAAAATTGTTTGTCCACACTCACCGGTGTGATTTCTGATACCTACTCTATAGGTTCGGACCTTGCTATACCTATCAACGTTTGAGCAGCCAGGTGGTACCATTATCGCTCACATTATGTGTGACTCGTCTACTTCACAAACGTGCTTATAATTGTTGAGGGCATTTTAAATTTTGTTGGGAGCGTTCATGGAGAGGTGAAGACAACCGGTAATCTTCCGCAAAGATATCCAATATCACCATTACTACTTCACTTTGTTTAAGTTAAACTGATGAGTGAGACTTCACATACCTCCTGATTTTCGGAGCTTGTGATTTAACGCTAGCAGAGTAACTGGCGGATGTAGTGTCTACAGAAGTCATAGTCGTGCTAACTGAAAATGCTGAGGAAGAGCAATCTTCTAAACACTTCGAGCAGAAGTCTGAACATTTTTGGCACGTGTTGCATGCCTGTCAAACGTAGGGTGATATTTTCTATCTGGCCTACACCTACTTGTTGCTTAAGGGCATGGTAGAGTGCGTTAACTACCTCACTTACTTGGGAACTTACATCAGCCCAAGTAGAATAGGTGCCAAGGAAACCTCATCTGGGATAGAGTAGGTGCGCTTGACACAAGCCAATTTAAGCTATTTCTGGTTCCAACAAGTTATTTGATTGCATATAAAAAGGGGAGTGTACTGTGTGACGGTTCGCTCTGTCTTATTGTACTGCTGTAAAACATTATTATTGAGAGTAAAAGAAGTGAGTCTGAAAAGAAGATAAATCAATAGATGTCGTTGGAAGCCTGCACCGACTAAATTTGATCGAATGTGTTGCGCTTAATGAGTCACCGCCTACTGGGATGTACTATGTTAGCCAGAATAAGAGTAGATTAGAATAAAGTTAAAGGCGATCAAACGAAAACGTGGCATAAATCTATGAATCCTTTGACTTTTGGTGTGAGATGTATAGAGGGGTGTAGGTCACTTGCTTAAAGGTCTCAGTGTCAGTAATCAGTGACTGAGCACTCTTAGCGATATGACTGGAAGTCGAGAACCATTGGGCTGAAGATGTATACACTAATGATTATTTAGTAATGATGGGCAGTGGCTAGCAGTGGAATCCAGGATGCTCATTTCGTCCTATTTGGGACTCGTCAGCTGGATGCACCTGCTTCCCAGTGAGTGATGTTGTTCCCACCGGGACTCTGACTCGGGAGCGATCGCTTCAAACGCCAGCGCGTTACCCACTACACCACCGAGCCACGATAGCCACTTCTTGTGCTATGGGTATAGGTTTAGTGTTATTATAAGTTATTAGTGTTATAATATAAGCAATAACACTAGTGATTATTTCCGAAATTCCGAGTATTTTATTGGTTGATTTAACCATCTTCTCACACAACTTCGTCTACCTCAATATTTTTCTTTCTCAGTGAACTTCATAATTATTTTCCCCACCAGATTCTACTTTTTCGGTTATCCTTTAACCTGAGTTTCTGGCTCGTGTTTAAACCTATTGACACTTTATAGGAAGATTTACTACAGGTTTCTTTAGAAATAACTCATAAAAAAAATTTTTTCAGCCAACCTTTTTTGGGTTTCCATTTTTTATATGGTTGAGAACATCGGCTGGGAAGCGAGTTTCGTAAAATAAATGTTATGTAAATTAAAAATCCTCATTCACTCCAGCTCTGGGGTACATGGATCATAAAGTTTTCTTGTTTTCCTACTCTTAGGGCTTGGATTGACTTTACTGTTGGAGCAGATACTACTAGTAAGACCAGAGCTAATTATTCAGCTTCACTTTGGTGAATCTTCAAGTAATCGCACAAACTCTGTAGACCTCAGTGATAGTGCATTGAAGACGATAGATACCTGGAATTCGCGGGCAAGTTTTATTCACTTCTATGTACACATTTGTATTTTATTTGCTAAGTAATTAGTATGAAGCGCTTGCTAAACACTTAGCGGCTCCCCTTCTTATTAGGATTGCTTTTATTATCCACTCAAGATTTTCATCCTATAAAAAGGATAGGGAAAAACTATCTGGAGCTGTTACAACTTGTAGTCTTATCAGTTTCCATGGTTGTCTCCGGCAATAACTGTTTCAGTCTTAGGTTTTTCTGATGGTTTATTATCGAAAGATTTATACATACTACTGAAGTTCAGTACTACTATGATTACGACAAGATGGGGGAATTCATTGTATTCAGAAAAAGTTTTCTTAAGGGAACCAGTAGTCATAATACCAGTAATCTTTGCTTTTATCATCAAGATTTTAAATTCATTTTCAGTGCTCAACCATACTGCCGTCATTGAATTTTAAAAAGGAATGTTCGTCAGGCAAGCCAAACAATTGTTGTTATTCTTCTATAAATATGCAAAGAATGATACCAGTGGTATATTGTGAAGAATATAGAATAAACACGCTACACTAAGCACTAAATTTACTATTTTAGTGATGTTTTAAAGTAATCTATCTCGAAATGTCTGTAACCTCCAGCTATTATTTCCCATTAGCGCATAGGAAAGCACTACTGTCTGCTCTACCTGTGATGTGGAAGTCATTAGTCTCTGGTAACCAAGTGAAATTGTTGTTTCTATGCCAAGTTCTTCCGTTTTATCAACTCCCGGGGTTATGAATATGATCAACATACTCAGTCAAATTACATTTTATCGTTAAATTGAATTCCAGAGTAAATCAATCCTGAATTAGATTTCCTCCTGTAGGAGGTAAAAGTTGCCTGTCAATACTTACCTTATCCCTCAAAGTGTTCAGAGTACTAGTTTTCCTTAGTCATTTCATCTAGCAGAATTAAATTGTCTATGTGACTACAGTTTATTTGTTCAAACAGTTATCAAGCAGTAAGTCAACTCCACCAACCTCAGTCTGAAAGACCATGTTCTTAACCCTAAAGTTCCTGGTTCCAAGGCTTGCCGCAACCCAGAGTTTTCACTTCCTTTCCAATCATCACCTGGTATCAACAAAACCAGTCTACAAAAAACCGTGCCTATCTCAAATAGTCTCATCAATCATACAAATTAAAACTACATCTCCTGGTTTAGCAAACAGACCATATGAGAGAAGTAATATTCCTTTCCAATAACTACCTCATCGTTAGCTCTACACTAATATGTAGCATTTTCAAAATACCAATTTACACACCAGTGTAGTGGTGATAATTCTTTCATAACAGCTTATCAATCTCAAATTATCAGCAGGGTGATGATAATAATAGCAGTAAGTAATTACGCAGTAAAATCTGTGAAATCTCAAACAGGTTGTTATACAATTGATAGTTTGTATGGTAGTAGCTAACATGAAAAGGACATAAAATGAGTGATTATGTCGAGCGGTCAACTGTTGACGGTATTTATGGACTTCAGGGCATCAACAAGGTGGCTAAAACTGCAATAACAACACTAATGATTGCAAACGTTTGTGGGATGAACGACCCTCGTATCGATCGTGTTTTCCTCTACTTAACCATGACGAGTGATATTCAGCGATTCGACGACGTGCTTGCCTGAGTGTGCGCCAATATAGCTAACTAGACAGGGGCAGGTGGACTGGTAAATACGCACAGAAGAGGATAGGTTGGGTAGTCTGTCTTTGATTCACGAAGTCATTATCGGTCAACTGTAGAATACACAGCATAATTTTGTTGCATTAAATAATCTCCTTATGGCATTTCTTAGGCACTGTGTCACGATTTCATTGATGATGTCACCCTGAAACTGGAGTCTTAGGGATAGTGATTTCTCGGAAGCTGTAGGCACTCTTGTTTTCATGATAGATATGTTCATATTTTTTTCAACTGGAAACGTTTTGGGATATCCATTACCACTGAGTAGATAAGGGATAATTTGAAGTTTCCATTGTAAGTTTCATCTGGACAGATAAGTCTTGCTCAATGGACAAACATTTGACCAGATTTCATTTACATTACCACGGAACGAAACTTAAGAAATGGATGTATGAATCGGTTAACATTGGTTTTTGATATACACTCTTTTTTATAATTTCACTCATCTTCCTTGACAATCGGAGATATTCAAGGTGATGCTATCGTCACTTTCTGTCTCAATGCTGGAGGTTATCGCTGGATGGACGCTGTTAAGTTTATCCAGTGTAATCCTTTCGTCGGCCTTGTTATTCAGAATTAAGGATGTACCATCCATGTAACCGCAGTTAGATTTCAACTCCCTAATCATTGCTTAACACAGTGTTGTTTCTCAGTTTCTCTAGGGAAAAGTCTACTAAGATTTTGCCTCGTGACCACATAACAATGCCATCTGACCATCTGTAGAATTCCTTGTTGAAGAGGAAATGTGCATTCATTATACATCTTAAGGGAAACTCTTTCAAGTTAGATGCCGTAATTCCGATTTGTATAAGACCTTTTGCTAATCATGATGCTCGATGAAGAAATTCAAGTCATCCCTTATCTACTCAGTGGTAATGGATATCCCAAAACGTTTCCAGTTGAAAAAAATATGAACATATCTATCATGAAAACAAGAGTGCCTACAGCTTCCGAGAAATCACTATCCCTAAGACTCCAGTTTCGGGGTGACATCATCAATGAAATCGTGACACAGTGCCTAAGAAATGCCATAAGGAGATTATTTAATGCAACAAAATTATGCTGTGTATTCTACAGTTGACCGATAATGACTTCGCGAATCAAAGACAGACTACCCAACCTATCCTCTTCTGTGCGTATTTACCAGTCCACCTGCCCCTGTCTAGTTAGCTATATTGGCGCACACTCAGGCAAGCACGTCGTCGAATCGCTGAATATCACTCGTCATGGTTAAGTAGAGGAAAACACGATCGATACGAGGGTCGTTCATCCCACAAACGTTTGCAATCATTAGTGTTGTTATTGCAGTTTTAGCCACCTTGTTGATGCCCTGAAGTCCATAAATACCGTCAACAGTTGACCGCTCGACATAATCACTCATTTTATGTCCTTTTCATGTTAGCTACTACCATACAAACTATCAATTGTATAACAACCTGTTTGAGATTTCACAGATTTTACTGCGTAATTACTTACTGCTATTATTATCATCACCCTGCTGATAATTTGAGATTGATAAGCTGTTATGAAAGAATTATCACCACTACACTGGTGTGTAAATTGGTATTTTGAAAATGCTACATATTAGTGTAGAGCTAACGATGAGGTAGTTATTGGAAAGGAATATTTCTTCTCTGACATTGTTTGTTTTCTGTATGTACAAATGGGACTTTTCGCACAATTCCTGTTCCTCCTGCTTCAATCCAACTTACTAGTTTGAGTGAATGCTACATTGGAATAATTGGTTGATAATTCGATTTGAAAGCTACATGCTGACTTCAAGGTAAATGATTAGGTAAGAAGATGTACAGCAGTGAAATAATGATGTATTTCACTAAATCGGTCTTTTCGTTGACAGTTAGTTGTACAACTGTTCTCTTTTTACATATTGGCTGTACAATTTGAACCCTGGTGTCATCGAGTTGAAGATACCAGTCTGTCCTCTAAGTGCAAACATGACTGTCTTATTAGGTTGCTTTACACTTACGGAAATATATAAATTGTGATATCCGGTGGTATCCTTTTTTGTTTGAGGGCGATCATCATTGGATAATCCAAGTCCTTGTGGAATAAATTTGGTTGTTGAGGGATGTTTTCGTATCACTTCCGTCAACTGCAGTTTTATAAATCATTTCCAGGCACTATACGGTCAGCTGGAAAAAGCTATAACGCATGCTTAAGAATGTTGACCATTCAATTTGAAACGATAATTTTAGGCAGCATTCAAGACCCGATCCACGCCCATCTTGGAAGCGACCTCGGAATTAATTAGCTGAATGTATGCTTAGATATTTTCCAGTTAGTTTCTTCAGTCAGTCACTGAAGCTGTGTGATTGGACCATTCAGTTCGCCCGGGTAGGTTTACGTCTGTGCAATTTTTCACTAGAATTCTTTTCAGAAAATATTCAGACTGAATTGTTAGGTTTGATCAATTTCAGTGATCTTAACTCTAGGTATTCACTTCTATTTGATGTTATATTAATTCATCAGTAGTGTTATTGACTTCATGATCGTCTGCAGCATAGTAACTGTCGCTTTTTTTGTCAACCTCTTTTTTCACACTCGACTATTTTTACACACTTTTTTGTTTTTAGGATATATCCAACGAAATATTTACTCATGATGTTCTACTTATAGAATCTAAAGCAAAATCGTACGTTTATTTCTAGATTTTATTATTATTATTTGTCCCTTGGGTTCCTAATGGAACATAGGGCTTCAGTAGCATGTCTCCGTTCCACTGTCTTCTCTGCAAACCTTTGAACCTGGCTCCACGACAGCCCACAAGCTCTCATTTCTTCCTCGCATGATCTCCTCCATGTCACCCTCACCTCGGATGCACAACTCATCGCTTTCGATGTGGCTTCCACTCGACTGCCTGGCGTGGCGTGATGTCCCCAGTCGGCCTTCTCAGTGTATGCCCAATCCATCTCCACTTCCTTCTGTATATTTGTTGAACGATAGGTTGTTGGTTGGTTCGTTGGCAGGCCAGAGTTCGCTGTTGCTTATTATTTCTGGCAATCCATCTGATCTTCAGTAAGGAGCCAGTCTAGGCAGTTGTTGATAAATGTCTGCAATTTGTTGGAAATGCCTTTCGTAACGCGCCAAGTCTCTTAATTATCACATAGAAGCACTGACTTGACTGGTGTTGGTGTTGAAAATCCGCATCTTGTTCGACATGCTGAGTGCAGAAGATCACCACACTGGTTTGAGGTTAATGAACGCCTGTCTTGCTTTTCCGATCTTGGCTGGCTTTGACGTCCTCGTCCGTGCCGCCACCTGTAGTTGAAACATTGCTGCTTAGGTAGATGAAACAGGTTACTTCCTTTAAGTTTCTCCCATTGATGGTGATTGGGGCTTGTTGTTGTTGTTGCTGGTGATGGCGGTTGGGTATCATCATCGCTTCTGTCTTCTCTACGTTCACTCGAAGTCCCGTTTTCGCTACCCTGCCTCTTCAGTCAACTTGTTAGTTTTCACCTGTAAATCTATTTCTAAATAGTATTTCATTTTACTCAGTTGGGACTAGGGAGTATTTTATGATGTTGTGAAACGTTTTGTAGTCATTTGTGCTTATTTCAAAGGGGTACATGCGAATTGTAGCGGAAATTACAGTGGTATGCCCACAAGTGATATATTCGGCTCTAATTTCTATAACCACTTCTTACTATTTGTTCACTGTTGTTTTTGTTATGAAAGCACTTTAATCCTTTTCTACTTTCATGTCTAATCTGTAAGCATAATGTTAATTTATATATTCTCAATAGACGATGGTTACTGTTCTTTTTACTAATGTATCTACTGTATTCCGTACCATAATTATGTTTACAGTACAGAATTCTCATCATGTGATATTGCGTTTGTTTACCTTCTGTACAACATTTTTCAAATGTATGTCAACGGTGATGCTGTTTAACAATACATAATAAAGAGTAATAGTGTAGTGGGCGTTGCTGATAAGAAGGGATATAAGTAGTATATTTTTTGAGGGAGTTGTGGAGATTTGGAAATATTTCAAGTTGTTATTCATCGTAGAATGACATCAGTTGGAGGAACAAAGGAAACCTGGGAGCACTGGACAGCTGATTCGTCCTAATATGGGACTCTTCAGCAGTGCGCACCCACGACCCCGCCAGGGATCGAACCCTTAGGAGTCCTATACTAGGACGAAACAGCTGTCCAGTGCTCTCAGGTTTCCTTTGTTCATCCAACTGATGTCAGTGTACCATGAATAACAACTTTAAATGAGTAGTATAAATTGAGAGGACGACAGAAATCATAGGGAATTATAAGCAATGAGTAAGGATTCTGCCCAGAGAAACGCAAGAGACAATGCAGTCATATTAAGAGCAAATCAAGAGAGAATCAGAAGAGTAAATGAAACACATTATGCAAATGACTGTCTTAATGCAGGTTGTACCATATTTAATAATAAACATGTAGCACTAAGATAGTCATTTGCATAATATGCTTTATTTACTCTTCTGCTTCTCTCTTGATTCGCTCTTGATACAACCGCATTGTCTCTTGCGTTTCTCTGGGCGGAATCCTAACTCATTGCTTGTAATTCCCTACCATTCATGTCGCCGTCTCAACATATACTACTTATATCCCTTCTTATCGGCAACGCCCACTACAATAGGATTTTTGAAGTGTTTAATGACTTCAGGGTCATTATAACTGTTCGCTATCGCAAAGTCGATTCATAAAACTATTTGTAACATGATCTCCTTCATACAATACACAAACTAAATAAAGTTATATGGTTGAATCTTTGTATACAGTTGTCCATGCATAAAGCTTCTTTTTTCCCAGATGATATACATGGAGAGAAGTGCAAATGCAGAGGATGCTTGGAATCAGATAAACTATTTTTACTCAACTGTCTACAAGAATTCAAGTACCTATCCACGACTGCATTTATTGGCAAGGTTATTGGTGTACCATTTGCTCTATTAACATTCGAAATCCTAATAAGGGGAAACAGTAAGTATAGAGAAAATGCGAGTTAATAAAACGCAGGAGTAAAGGCTGAGTTATGCCAGACAGTTTGAGTTTCCTTACATAAAAGGGCAAGCGATGAATTTTCCTGGAAATCAGTAAAATATGAAAGGACCAAGAAAGATCAAAAGAAAACCATAGGCCAAGATGGATCACGCTTGTTACATTTTTTACGATAGCGCTATCTATAACGCAAGCTATGAGACTGATACAATTTACCCAGGTCTTGTTCACGTCTTAAGCTAAAATTAACCATCTGACATTTGGAAGGATTTAGTGTAAGGAATATCAGTGATCGGTTTCAGTTAAGAAGTTATTAAATTGGGAGCAATCTGAAGAGGAGATGATCGGTTTGGATACGGCTAGGTCATCTGTGTACTCAACAGAGTTAGCTTTAGTTCAGGTGCAGAGGCCATAAAATTCATGACAAAACAAATATAAACTATGGGCACCGATATAGTATGATATGCTCAGCTAGTATATTTCATCAAGTTACCATTGACTATCCAGTAGACGCTTAATCCGAAGGCCAAATGAAGTAAGTACTAATTACTTGACTCCCTGTGATGGATGTGTTGTAGCAATCTCACCAGTTATCTTCTCTCTATATCGATGTGATTAACATTGCCGTGTTATTGATCACCTTATCTGTCCACTAAAAAGTTGCGAATCCAAGAGATCTGACTCATTCGCTTTTCGAGTGATATCTGGAGTTAAAACTCTCTTAAACATAGCTGTTGAAAGTTGAGGAGATAAAAAGGCTTCACATATTTCACCACCATTGCCTTCATAGCATACGCTTTGCGTTGCGGTACCACCATTTCAGTAACAGAAGTGAGGCGCACAGCTTTAGGTAGAAAAGGAAAGTCAGTTAATCGGGTCCTAAATTTTCATTGATCCAGATGACTCGGACTATGTATGTATAGGCATCGTTTGTTCCATCACGCAATGTTACCTGAAATAGGTTTACGCTGGGTAGAGGTTAGAGGTGGTGAGACCAAAACATGACAACATTCCATATAGCCTCTGGCTTCATGTTTAGTAATTCAGGATGGCGTAGACTTCCCGCTTAAGGTCCACACGGCGACCAAAGTCAGTGGTTGCAGATTCTAGTCAGTCTGACTTGAAGTCGATCTCAGTGGTGCAAGTGTATCTTCGTCTTAATCATCATACCTGATTTCACTTTCTTCCTTTTGTTACAACTTTAATTGAGTTTTGCCTTCTTTCCCCATCTTTCATCTAAGTGTATCCTATCCTAATGTTCTGATGTGAGATGCAGCAATTGGGGTCGTTAGGCAGTAATCCTAGGTCCCACTCCACCTATTTCACTCTGAGCAACCGAGTAACATTATAAGCTCCCATACAAATGTGGCTCATAGCCCAATGCATAAAGACGTACCAGGCTGAGTTGCATTAACAGTATGCTCAACCTATTCAACTCTATCAGGTCAAATTTTGATCCTGAAGTTTACAGTATGCTTTATTAATAATCATGGCATCAACAAGCATATATATATCTTTATCTCTCTCTATGAAATTTCTTATTTCTCAACACCGCGTACTTTTTGGAAGCAGGTTCCAAGTATCTATTTATTTTTGCTTTAGTCCCTGTTCATTCACAGCGGTTTAGACATCTAGGCTTTATCATCATCCCTCACTCAACATATGACTCATGACCTAGTACATCATTCTATGAGAAGTCATTTAAATGCAGGAATCATGACATACGATAGTGTATATCAGGACATCTTCATAGTTTTGATATGTTCATAACGTAGTTCAGGTCATATTGCACAGCCTTTTGGTATACTTGACATTCGTAATAGAAAATTAAGCCGACATGGTTACAATTTTTTACCAGGACTAAAGCACAATTTCTTTATCTTCAGTGTCATAAGTGCGAGTTTTGGATTTTAAAAAGGCTCATATCGAAGTACACATTCCTAGCCATTTTGACAGTAAAAGGTTGGAAGGGACATTATAGATGAGGTAAATTATTGGTGCTGGAAAAAAACATCAGTCACCATATGAATTGAACCAGCAGTGTCTGACTTCCCTGCACAGTATTCTACTCGTTGAACTACTTGATGTAAATTTTAAGCAGGTCTAAATTTAATCCCAGTCCCTATGGACTTCGCCCATCCATAAATGATTCTTGTACTATCTTCGTAATCTAAAATCATATAGTATTTCAACTGGAATTTGTCATTTATATCAGTTAGGACTAAAATTCTTACATCTCCGCAGGAGAACGAAGATCTTAATTGTAGTTCGTATATTCAAAGTCAAACAATACTGAATACCTGTATTTCTAGTATTGTGGTCACAGTTCCATAGTGTCATCGAAAATGGATAACCAATAGGTTTGTAATATCGACTACTGTAGCAGAAGCTAAAAGTCAGCAACTAGACTGTTACAATGTATGCGTCTAAGTATTTTAAGCGAACTAAATTTGACCTTCGTGCGAAATGACATTGTCAAACCCTACTGGTTAGGTGTGTCTAATCATCACAGTCTTCTCTTTCCCAAACCAGCTCGATTTAGATTAGGACGACAAGAAGTGACTGAATCTTCATAATAGTGCATCATTTCTCACTTTATGGCTTTCCGCGTCACCGGAAATTGAGAAGGATCACTATTGTATGAACACGAACCATACTCAAAATCGTTTGAGTAACCAGTCTCCAGTGTGCACAACTTCCTGGTGTAGCTGTCACTCGAAACCGGTCCATAGTATGAGTATCAGGAAAGTATCAGACTTAGGGATCAAACATGGGTATTCACTTTACGCAGTCTTACCGACCTGAGGAGTCCTTATGATCCACACTATAGTTGTCTAAGGTGTACATGGTCAATTACTGTGATCTTGGAAGTGTAGGTGTAGTATTAACTGTAGGGCAAAGAATACACTGACTGCACCCAACTTATCTGTACCCTTTGCCATCAAATGGCACAGTAAGAACTGAAAAGCATCATTATACGCATTGCTATTATTTCGTGGCTTCTGTTCACACATCTAACGATTTTAGCTTGGGCTATGTGAAAGACGAATTCTATAGACAACCAGTTACTTAGTAAAAAAAGATAAGTATTGTTATATTTGGCAAGTCGAAGCCAAACAAAAAGACGTATGCAGCACCTTCATATTACCAGTTTAGCGAATCATCAATATAGTCAGCTAATTATTTGTGAAATGAAGATGTTTTGTCCAACATAATGCCCACCAACTTCTGTGGATACGTATAAACGACTTTGCTCTTACTTACCATTAGAGATGTTCATGAGGGCTTTAAATCTTTAACCTACTGGTTTGACGTCAAGTGTAAGAACTAATAAACCATATCGCAACTATTACAAAGATAGTTAAGACAGGGTTAGTAGGTAACGCGTTAAATTACAGTAAGCCAGACAAAAACAAATGACTTTTAGATTGCGTCATAGGCGCATCTAAATGAATCGTTTGCAGAGGCGCAAATATGTCCGTATATTATATTCGAAACAATATGGTATCTGTTTATTTTCTTTATCTCTTTTTGTTTTTGTTCATGACTTTTTATTACAAGCACTGTCATTTTCATTTTCTTCAAGTTGACGTCCACCTCTATGTACTTTTGTGAAGCATAGCAACACGGAGCGTTATGTAACTATATAAAGTCGTGCATTCTTCATAGTGTGTGTGATGATGAGGATAAACAAGTATTTACATTTTACTCACCCACCTGATAATCAAACGAACATCCTGTTGACTGTAGTATGATCGAAATCTCATCAGTGGCTGTCTCTTGTTACTAGGTTGAGATATAGACAGTTGGGTAACCTCATCATCCTCAATATCAACATAAGACCAGGTATTACTGCGTAACGGTCCGAGTTGCCACACCTCATATCACCACATCAAGTAAAAAAGCAGTCAGGTGCAACATGAAGATAAGAAAATTCAGTCAAAAGAAATATTAAGTACGAGAAGAAAGAAACGAGGAATGACAAAATGGTGAGACTCGGTATACCGTCGTTAAGATGAGGATAATGTCTGTGGGGATACATCTGCACCACTCACATCGGTTCTCAGCCATTCCATCACCTAGAGTCAGTCTCCAACCACTGGTTCCTATTGTCCCGCCAACCCAAACCACTTGATCTGCATCGTCCCATATGGCTAAAACCAACAGTCAGAGACTTCATACATTGATTGGTGCCATGTTTTAGTCTGGTCACCTCAAGCCTTTTTCCATCCTGCACCTATTTCGGCCAACATTGTGTGACGAGGCAATCGGTGACTAGGCATACGTAGTACGTGTCCCAACCATCTCAGTCAATGAAGGTTCACAACCGTGTCAACTGATTTACCTCTACTCCCTAAAACTCTATACCTGACTTCTGCATTACTCACGTGGTGACACCACGGAATAAGATCTGTACTACGAAGGCAACGGTGGTCAAATACCTGAAGCCTTCTCATGTCTTCCACTTTCAATGGCCATGTTTCAAAGCTATGCAGTAGAACAGACTGGACTGCTGTGCAGTACACGCGACCCTTAATAGACAAACGGGTATCACGTCGGTGCCATATGTGGTTGTAGTTGGCAAAAGCCGGTCTGTGTGTGGATGCTACTATTTTATGTCCTGTCACGACCCTGGTTTTCTCAGCTTCAGTCATAGAACTAGTTTATGTAGAAATCAGTCTACTAACATGTCTTATGTGGTCTCATCAAAAAGTAGAATACATTAGTTTGTTATTGCCATATCATGTATTTACTATACAGTAGATGTGCACTTTTTTCTATTCTCATCTTTATTATGCTCACTCCTAACAGTTTTGTCAAAAAACCATCTCATTAGAATAGTAAAGGTAGGAAAATCACATATGATAAACTAAAGTTTTAATAAAGATCAACTGGATCTTTTTTTTACCATTGTTTTTCCTACGATAATGTTTTTATCAACAGGGTAAAATACGTTTTTAATTGTTGACAAATTATGATTCATGAATGTGAACACTTTGTAGGCTAAAATTGAATTACAAATCCTGTCATCTTTCTACTCGATTATAGATCCTCTCATCATGCAATAATTGATCCACGATGTCATCTTGGTCCTCCTGATCATCGTGATCTTACTATGCTAACCTATTTTATGTCCACACTTTCCAATGCACCTACTAGCCTACCTTCTAGATTAATGCATGAACCTCTTGGACATCCAGTGGCTCATGTTCTCGATTGTATACCATATCAAGTCCCAGTTATCTGTTCATCTAAACAACAAGATATATGTGGAAACAACACAGTGGATGATCGAGACTGTTCAATGTTTAACAATCGCATTTCTGTTTCTAGTGCTAACCAAAGCGTATTGCACACAACTCATTCATCATTATGCAGTGACAAAAAAGATCAAATACAGTTGGCTTTTCGAGTATTGAAACCCAAATCTAAAATATTCAAAGAAGATTCTTCTCCTTTTCTGTCCAATGTAGATGACCTGTTATCGTGCTTGAACGCTACTTTGGTCGCTCTTTGTGTTGTACCTCAGGATATTGTAAGTCATATCTGTGTGGATTTATTTTCTCACCTTGATGTAAACGTAAATTACTTTTCATCTAACCATGTTGTTTAGTTTTTCGGTGGATAACTTCAACTGCAGATTTCGTTACACGTGTATTGGTTTTAGAACCAGGGAAGAAAATTTATCCACTACAATGTTTAATATCGAGATTGCACTACTGCATTGTTATGGTAATGTGTCCCCTTTGTACAGATCAACTTAACTGGCATACATGATATAATGATCTGTCATTCCTCTCGTTTAACTTACTGTGAAATTGAGCAGTTACTCAAACACAGGTGTTCATTTCCCGATAGTAATTTACCTATACACATACCGCTGAGACTATACGAAAGATGACTTTTTAGCGGATTGTTGTTACAGGTATTTTCGGTAATCAGTGATTGTAACTGTTGCGTAGGAAGGAATTGATAGCTTAATACAACTACCTTGTTCAAGGTAACTTCGTTAGTCTTCATACAATGAATGGCTTTGCATGTTATAATATCCATTGACAATTAGCTTCGTTAAGGGTTGTTGTGTCGTACTTAGTATAAATCTCCCTCAGTTATTTCTTCAGACAGATAAAATCAACGTATAACCTCCCACATAAGTGGATCGGTGCAAGTTGCGGGACTTCACACCAGCATGCAAGGAACAAGTGGATAGAAAACACAATGACATCAAAATAGACAAGGGGGTATCTGAGGATACACAATTTGAAGATAAAGGTCAGTGCAAATGTTCCAACTCAAGACGTCAAAGAGTGTATACATCTGCACTATTGTGGTCAGTTTCACCCATATCGCTGAGAGTCCTCAACCACTGATTCCTATTGTCTCGAATACCACAACCAGGTAGTTTACATCTCCCAACACGTCTTAGACCAACAGTTAGAAACTTCATAGACTGGTGCCTCTCTTCCAACCTAATCCTACTTCTGCTAACATTACACTACGAAGTAAATGGTGTCTCAGGATGCGCCGTACATCTATCCACCTCAGTCGCTGAATGTATACAATTCCATCGACCAACTTGCCTGTCTTGTCTAGTGCCTTTCGCTTAACCTCTACATTACTCACACGGTGATTCCACCGTTCGCGAACACTGCAACAAAGAAACTTATGGTAAAAACCCTGAAGTCTCTTCACATCTATTTTTAACGGCCATGTCTCACAGCCGTACAACAGGACAGAACGAACTGCAGCTCAATATACACGTCCTTTGATAGTTGGATATCTCGCTATTGGGTGCCATAAGTGACACAAGTCAACAAGTTGTCAACAACCAGTCTCTTCGAACCGATGCAACTCCCCAAGTAAGTGGTCGATGAATTCCACCACTTCATTCCCTATCCTTAAACTAGAAGTAGTTGCAGACCAGTAGTGAAGCGTCATCTTACATTTGACAGGTATGAAATGAATACCCGAAAAATTCGTACTCCTTCACAAGGTTTTCAGAGGATCCATCATTTCTCAGCATCTTCACTTAGCAGGACAATATGGTCTGCGTACTGTAGATGACGTGCCCTCCAGGCAGTAATTCAATCCCTGCGAAGTCATAGGCACCTGAAGTTATGTCCATTAGTACCTCCTTAACGAAATTAAACAGCATTGATGGCAGTGAACATCTCTGGCGTACACCACTTCAGACGACCACTCCTCATAAGCCCTCACATAACTGCACGAGTTCAAGTAGAGAGCTTCGATTAACGCCACATACTTGCTTGGTACGCCCTTCACAATTGGAGACTGCCACAACATCTTACGGTCATCAGTGTCAAATGTTGCCTTCAGATCAAGAAATATGACAAGCATCGGACACCAGTGGTTATTCCTGTGTTCTACAATCTGTCAAAGGGTGAAAACCGGATCGATGCACTAGCTATGAAACCTGTCTGGTTTTTTGGAGCTCCATTTAGACAGACGTATGGATAACTATAGATCTCAGGATCTTGGACAATATACTAGCCAGACTGATTCCCTATTCTTGTCGCAAGATAACTTTTATCCTCTCTTATCGACTGCGGTGCTCAGTGAAGTGGACCTGTCTGAAGTATCATGCGATACACTACCTGGTATAACCATTACTCTACTTGGTAATTTCCCACCTTCATTCTTCAAAACGTCGGGTGTCAAACCGTCAGGTCTTGCCGATTTGAAACAACCTTCTCAACTTCGAGGAGTGTTTGATGACCGACTTCCGAGTCCCATTCAGGTTCTGACTAGTTACTGGGTAACGTAAGGGTTGTTATGGACCAATTGACCTGTTCTACTAAATATTCTATTCAACGTTCTGACCGTCTACCCTTGTTGATAATGGTTTCATTAAACATCGTCTTGTTCTTACTGGTGTCCTTAAAAAGTTTAAATAACTACAGGGTATTTATTACCTAACTCTGATATCTTCTCTGTCTCGCTTTCACCACCCACCATTGCTCGTGGTCATTTTGAATACTGTTGCTCAATTTACTCCTTAGTTGCTTTCCCTCTTCACTGTTGTTATAGCCAGTTGGAACTCGTCTTCTCACATCAATCGGCTCGCATGAGCTTGCAGAAATTCATTGACATTTGATAACCTTCAGATATAGGTTGCCAACTGTCTTTACCACTGTTTCGACAGCACACTGAATGTCAGACCAGGCTTCCTCTAGATGAGGATTTCTCCTACGTTCAAATAAATGCTTACCTATCTCCTACTTAACCATGTACTTCGTGTTCTCATCTTCCACTCAGTCTTCACTGTTGGCTGTTTTCTGCGATCAGTTAGGCGCAATTACACACGTTACCAAACACACGTCCAAACAGGTACTCTAAAAAGAGTGACAATCCTCCACTGATCCTCTCCAACGATGACTCATAGCATTATGATCTATCTGCGTTATCTCTGCAAAGTGTCGAAGATGTTTATCTAGATTTGGCGTTGTTTTCTGTGATTGCTTCCATGAGGAGAGTATTACTCTGTGTCGTCTCTGGTCATAAGAGATTTGAGTGCGGATCGTCAGTGTGGCTATTCGACTCGTGTGAAATCTAAAAGCACCAGGTGTATTGCTGCTGTTTAGTTTTCCAATTTTGTCGGTCATAAACTTTCTGCTTATTACAATCATTCCTGATGGTTTACCTGCTGATCATTAGTTTTTGGTTATTTCCGTGTGATTAGACAGCAAGAACCAAACGTTTAATGCAGTACGACTTATCTATGTTGTATTGGTTATCATATCACTCTAGCAGACACGAATGGAATAGGCATGTTTTCGTGATACTAGAAGGAATTTGAATAACATAATGAGAACACCGTTTGAAGGATAAGATGATGTCACTTATTTCATAGGATTTTCTTCAGCTGCATTACAATGTGAATAAATAAGTAAATGATCACCATAACAAATATTAGTATGCCTTATATGGAGCGTCTTAAAAAACAGGAGAATATAATTGAGGATACAAAGGAAGTTCAAGTAACAAATTCAGCTAAACAACATAAGGGTTATGTAAGGCAAAGTGAGGAATATTCACGAATGAGTAAGAGAGGAGCATTGACTGCTGAATCGCACGCAGCGGTCAGTATTTAAACCTTCACAACTTCTGCCCAGTCGACTGCAAGAAATGTTTAGTGAGGACGTTATACCAGTGTACAGAGCGATTATGTTCCCAAGAAAAAGTGCAAGAAAAGTTTTAACTAATCGAATAATGCCTACGCAATGATAGTTATCCGATGAAGTTCCTTCAGAAGTACTGGAAAAAGCAAGGAGAGGAAAGCAGGATGTATTACTGTTGAAAAAAACTAGTGTTTCTTACCTTGGCTTCCAAGGTAAATGATATTGTGACAAGAATCAACAGACGAATAAGAAGTGCTATGTCCAGGACCTATCCGGCTTTTAGACTTGTCTCACTATATGAAACAATATGTGGAATTACAATCCAAGTTAGACAAAGCGTCAAACCTTGGTAATTACAACTGTGTTTATGAGTGCACATGTACATACAGTAGTAAGTACGTAGGAAGAACTCAAAGGCGGTTGTCTACAAGAATTGCCTAACGCCTACTAAAGATTCTACGTCTCAGAGGTTCATCTTGTTTGACAGTGCAATAGCTCTTCACCTATGTGATACATGACATCAGGTAGATGCAATGAAATCTATCATAGTAGTCAATAGACAAAAGATCTCGCAGTTACTTCGAACTGCTGAAAACGTCGCTATCCGACGAGTTTAACTGTAACTGTATGTACAGAAGAAGACAGTTACCAATTTTTAATTACCGTGGTAATTAGTGACTTCTAACCCTTCCATCTTTGCTAAAATATTTCTGATACATTTGTTTTGTGCTTATTCATATCCATATTCATATTCCTTATCGTCTCAATATGTTGTTATAACGATAGTTTTATCTCACTCACTTAATAGCAGTTTGCTAACATGATATTTTCACATTATTCAGCAACTTCAACTAATCTTATTCATTCGCAAATATTCCTCACATTACCTTATATAACCCTTATCCCATCATCACCATTATCAACGTAAAACCAGGCATTACTGTGTAACGGGAGAAGTTGCCACATCTCATATCAGCACACTAAGTAAAAAGGCAATAAAATGAAAGATGAAGAAGGAAAGAAAAATCGGCCAAAGGAAATAGAAGTAGAAGGTAGTAAAAGAGAGGAAGAAAGAATGAGATGATGAGATTAAGTATAGCGGTTAATGTGAGGATAATGTGTATATATCTACGCCACAAATATCGGTCCCGAGCCATATCACCTAATGTCTCCAACCACTCGTTTCTCTTATCCCACATACCTCAACCAACTAGTCTGCATCTCCCTACATGGCTCAGACGAACAGTCAAGGACTTTGTGCATTAATGCCATGTTTTAGTCTGACCACCTCGAGTTTTTTTCCAGCCTGAACTTTCTTCGGCCAACATTATGCTACGAGGCAGACGGTATCTAGGCCCGCATAATGCATGTCCCACCCATCTCAGTTGATGTAGTTTGATTGAATTTACTACTTGAACTTCCTTTGTGTCTTGAGTTATTGTATTTTCCTATTCTTTAATACAGTAAACGCTTTTTTAAAACGCTCCATATAAGGCATACTAATATTTGTTATGGTGATTATTTACTTATTTATTCAGGTTGTAATGCAGTTGAAGAAAATCCTATGAAATAAGTGACATCATCTTATCCTTCAAACGGTGTTCTCATTTCGTTATTGAAGTTCATAAAGAGGACTAAATGTGTGAAATATAAGGGATTGGTTGTTCTGGATAAGCATACAAATTATTTTCCCTCTAGAATTTGCTGTTTAATCATAATTGTTTTAAGAGATGTATTTCAGTAGTTTATGCCCTCAACTTCCGACTCATTTTTCATCGTAAAGACTATGTCATCAATCTTTATGCAGTAGTCTATTACCATAGATCACTATTAGGACTTACACAAGCGTTTCATCACCATAATGTGTAGCTTCATCAACATTAACGTATATCAAAGTAAAGTTTGTCTTAAAGGAATATCCAAGTAAATACGTTTTCCATTTCTTTCAACATACCAAATTGAAAATCTAGGTAGATTCAGTGAGGCTTCATGAAGGTGAACAACATTAAAGGATTTACTGCTTATTCGTCACCTAATTTATTGTTTAAAATGACCTACATCCATTTTTCACTGTAGTTTACTCGTTATTCAACATGTTGCCTAGTTGCATTTACCCACCACCTAGTTGGATGAAGACACTGATAACATGCAGAGACTTCTGAACACTTTGAGTGACGATTTGAGAACATTTGAGATGCATTTCTCACCACCCAGATGCAAATTTTTGCTTCAGGATTGATCCTCAACGGTGCCACAACTAACAATAGAGAGTGTAGTGATTGAGTGTGTCGACCACTTCACTTATCTGGGAATTAGGATCAGACCTGGTGGGTCAGTGGCCGATGAAATCTCTGCACGGATACAAAACATTGGATTGGCTTTCACCAATTTACGCCACCTGTGGCGCCTCCGTGATATCCGTTTGTCTATTAAGGGTCGCGTGTACTGCACAGCAGTCCGCTCTCTTCTACTGCATAGCTTTGAAACATGGCCATTGAAGGTGGAAGACATGAGAAGGCTTCAGGTATTTGACCACCGTTGTCACCACGTGAGTAATGCAGAAGTCAGGTATAGAGTTTTAGGGAGTAGAGGTAAATCAGTTGACACGGTTGTGAACCTTCATTGACTGAGATGGTTGGGACACGTACTACGTATGCCTAGTCACCGATTGCCTCATCACACAACGTTGACCGAAGTAGGTGTAGGCTGGAAAAGGCCCTAGGTGGCCAGACTAAAACATGGCACCAATCAATGTATGAAGTCTCTGACTGTTGGTTTCAGCCATGTGGGACGATGCAGACCAAGTGGTTTGGGTTGGCGGGACAATAGGAACCAGTGGTTGGAGACTGACTCTAGGTGATGGAATGGCTGAGAACCGATGTGAGTGGTGCAGATGTATCCCCACAGACATTATCCTCATCTTAACGACGGTATACCGAGTCTCACCATTTTGTCATTCCTCGTTTCTTTCTTCTCGTACTTAATATTTCTTTTGACTGAATTTTCTTATCTTCATGTTGCACCTGACTGCTTTTTTACTTGATGTGGTGATATGAGGTGTGGCAACTCAGGCCGTTATGCAGTAATGCCTGATCCTATGGTGATTATTGATTGATTGATTAATTCACCACCTAGTTGGTGCATTTTAATGAAATTTAATTTCAATGCAATCTAACACATGAAAGCTATTACCTCTATGTTCTATTCTTGTTCTATCTCTTACTGAAGTCTTATTTTTTCTAAAGTCTTATCTAAATTTTGCTTCTCATTTCTCCCAACCAGATAAAGGAACCAGACTCAACATGCTTGTATCGTTGGATATCATGCAATCCAGTTTGTGAATGTGTTGGTCTAGGTGAGTGATTTCTAATCAAAAATTCCATTTTAATGTAACTTAAATCTTTATTACGGTTGTTTAGGTTTCATTTTATGTCAAACTATCGCCTAAATAGTGTGGATGAAGTACCTCAGCCACGTATACTAACAAAATATCCGACGCTATAACTGTTGTATTCTCAAGCACAAAAAGTATGCGATGCGAATGCTTTTTCAGTAAAGAATATAGACCCACTTATATTAGTTACAGTGACAATCACAATACAAATTTCAGCTCACAATACTCTGTTCTGACGGAGTATATTTTCAAACGCTTTACAATTGATTGTAATAATACTTGTAGCTTCCCGTCGTTATACACGGCCGAATTGCTCAACGTCTGTTGGGAGATGGGCTACTATGGGGATGCCTCGATACTACCGGATATTCATTATGTTATATTGGTCTTGGTGACTAGCAGAGGAATTCAGAACGTGCCTTTCTTCCTAACACCATAATTATCTGGTAGTATCGAGGCCTTCCCATAGGAACCCATCTACCAACAGAGGTTAAGCAATTCGGCTGTGTATAGCAACGGGAAATTGCAAGTATCATTACAACAGCTGATACACGTTGCACAAGATAGGGATATCCTGCCCCAGTAGCTTAGTGGATAACGCTCGGGTGTTTGAAGCAAAGGGTACTAGGTTGAAATTTCAGTGGGAACATCACTCACTGATATGCAGGTGTATCCAGCTGACGAGCCCCAAAGAGGACGAAAGGCGTGTCTTGGATTTCTCTGCCAGTCACCAAAATCAGTATAGCTTTACAACTGAGTTAAATTATACTTCCTACTTAAATTCAGTAGTAGAAAATGTGTACATGCTGTATCCATGCTGAAGTTACGTTGAGGAAAAGAGTACAGAAATACAGTTTACATGAAAAAGTTGAAATATTTCAGAGAGTTAATAAGTAACCATTCTATACTATAGAGAAGTAAATGTTTGTACACACAAAAAGCATCATGTTATCAACTGAACAAATAATCGTTGTTGGTTCCCAGTTTGGTTTTTGAAACATTATTTCCTAACGACAAAGTTAACTGAGTTCATTCTCACTGAAAGGCTTACAGAGTAAGTACATCACCTTATGAAAGCCTCTCTACTCGAACACTAGCGGGCGTGTTAGAACCTGTGGTGAGATGTCCACGGAGCTATGCTCGTCGAGTGGTGTCCGTCAATGGTGCCTACGTCCTCCATTTTTATTCACTTTTATCATAGATATTCTTATGGAAGTCTCCCTCTTGTCACCTGCTTACACAGACGTTGACCTAATCGCAGGAAAATTTTCGTTAGACCTAGAATATGCAGATGACACAGTTCTGTTAGGTGAAGACGCTGACAAGATTTAGGGTCTTCTGAACACTTTGAGTGGCAATTTGAGAATATTTGGAATGCATTTCTCACCACCCAAATGCAAATTTTTGCTTCAGCAACATCTGCCAGTTAGCCACCCAACGTTTTTAAGGATGGGGGTAGGAAATTGCTGAGCAGAATAATGGAGTTTGCACCAACACCTACCATCTTTAGGAGAAAGATATTTGACAACTTTCAAGATGTATTTACTGTTATTTTCTCGAGAGGATGTAACACCCACGCTTGACTGGCGGCTACCTTCATACGTCAGATCCACTGACTCCAACTCCAGACGAAATTGAAAAGAAGACTGGGTTGAATAGGAGATTTTTTTTACCTCTAAGAAGAATAGCCAACCCAAAAGCACGTGGGTATACATACATGACATATAACCTTTACTGAAATTTGAAAGAACGTAGTGAGGGCAAGCATAACCAATCAGTAAACCACCTTGAAAATGGAGGGCGGGGATGTTAAACTAGTAACTGTGCCGCAAAATCGGGTCGAAAATGACAATTAAAAAATAATAAACAATGTTTCGTACAAAGTTAAGACCTTTAAACAGTTACAACTTGTTTTTCACTTGCCTGTTTCAATGAATTTGAGGTAAGTAAAATCTGCACATAACCGAACCGTAAAAGTTTTATATAACGTGTCTTAGTAATTTAAATGAGTTACACATTGGCTGCTTTAATTATCCCTATTTATTTCAGTTTCTTGAGAAAGTTAATAATTTGCTATCTCAAAATCCCTAAGTATCCATAACCTTCTAGAACTTCAGTTGGTTACATTTAAGTGAACAGAATTTCTTCTTTTCTATTTCCTACATTACTTCTATTTAGCCTGTCATCGTAAAATGGTGTTCCTGTAGTTTTCGGTCACCAGTCATCATACGGAGAGCTCACTTTTCTTCTACTGTTTACAACTGTCAGCTTATATATATTCCAACCTGAAAATTCTTTCATCAGATAAGGAAAACGTTTTTTTCAAAATGTTTCTCTTCGCTTCTTGCTATTCAATTGTTCATAGTCATGTAATTTAACTTCAGAAAGTAATCAAAGTTTGGTGGAAGTATTTTCACTTATTAGGATCCATTCTGTACTGATATAAATGACCTACTTATGTTATGTAATTTTATTTATAATCATTGTAGTGTAATCCGTTTAATCATATTATTTGTTCTTCATTGAAAAATTCTGTAGCTGTTTGTCGTGCTATTGATCCCGTAGCTGGTGTACTTTATTTAACAACTGGTGTTCCAGAAGAAAATTTGTTAAAAGTAACAGGAATCCTTCGTGGTAATGTAAATTTACCCAACTGTTTCTTTTTGGATCAAGTATGCGCAAGTTGTATTAAATTATACTTATTGTAATCTACGCCTTTTTTTAATATTACTATTATTTATTATGTGTGTATATATATATGCCTGACTGACTGACAAAATCAACGTAGAGCCTTGCTTATAGATGCTTCAGCTCAATTTGCCACAAAGAATTGGTGGATAGAAAAAGAGTGACATTGTATGAGAGAATAAACAGTTTGAAGATAACGGTTTGGGACTTCATTGACTGTCTCCATATCCTTGGTCTGGCTACCGTAAATTCTCTTTGAACCGAATCCAGCTTCCTCTTGCATGGCACATTAAGTTGGATAGTGACTCGTCATGTGCAGTACATGTTTAAGCCATCTCAATCGACTAAAGTTCACAACCTGATGAATCGACTTGCGGGTCTTACCTGGTACCCTCAGCAATGACCTCAACATTGCTTATGCGGTGATCCCCACCAAAGGCGATCAATGTTACAAAGAGATCTTTTTTCAAAACCCTGTAATCGCTTCATGTCTTTTACTTTTAGCAACCATATCTCATAGCTGTATAATAGGACAGAATGGTCTGCGGCACAGTATACTCATCCTCTGATAAATAGTCGGATATCTTAGTAGTCGGTGCCAGATGTCATGGAAGGTTGACAAGTGTGAAACGGGTCTTTCGTATCCTAGTTGAGATTTCGTCAGCAACCAGCCTGTTCTAGATGGATGCATGGTGGATATATATATATATATATATATATATATATATATATATATATATATATATATATATATATATATGTATATATATATATATATGCAACAATAACATTTTACATGTAAAACGTAGGAAATGAAACAAAAGCATTACATCGTAGTACTCTGTGGCATTTATTCACTGCCATAAACCATAAATGGTTCGGCGACTGCGTAGAGTGCTTTCATAAACTAAACTGGATGGCAGCCAAAGTATTCTAATATTTTTTTTTAATACCGCCATAAAAACACTTTTCCAGTGGATAAAAAGATGAACTATTATATCTTTGAAATGTGTATGTAAATATCATATCCAGCGTAATGTGTGTTCGATAACTTCACGATTTCTCATCTTTGGGTTAAAAGGTGTTGTTTTATATGAATGATTACTTCAGTTCTTTTGTGTCATGATACATGCTTTAGAGCGTATTATTATTTTCTTGGTATATATTTCACTTTCAGCCCTTCTTCCGGACTAAAATCGATAACGAAGCCTGTATACTCCCATATTTGGGTCCAAGCAGTACAAAAGGTAAAGGACGTGTGGGATTACCTTCCAGACGTTCTTATCCTAAGACAATGCACCATGACAGTCATCGTATAGGCACATCAGAGACCATTGAATAACTTCTTTTTTTGTATCCACGTGCATATAAAGATCCACATAGTTATTTTTGAAATGGAAACTCCTGTCTATCATTTTCAACTAATCTCTTTTGAAATGATTTTGTTAACTTAGCGTTTTTTATAAGATTAGTTTGTGTGGATTACTTTTATATTTGATTCTACTTGTAAATAGAAGTTACAGTCCTCATGTAGCAGTGGCTTGTTGTGTTTTATTTCATCAATCAAGTCATAACAAGCAGAACCTTACACGAAAGTATATTGGTTCAAGTTGTCACACTTCACAGGACTACACAAAGAACAAGTGGGGACTAAAAAGGAGCACTATCTAGATGGAAAAAGGTGTATTAAAGGAAACGGAATTTGAAGCTGAAGGTTAATGAAAACATTCGAGACTTAGATGTCAAAGGGTGTATATATCTATGCCATTGTAACTGATTTTCAGCCATTTCACTAAAAGACTTCAACCATTGACGCCCGTTGTCTCAAGGACCCCAACCAGTTGATCTTCACCGATCAGACCAGCACGTTGTCCGCATCGTCATGACCACTTGGAGCTTTAAATGCTGCCGGCTAACACGATTACAGTGTTCCCTTTAGACTGTATCCACTTATTTGACTGAAAATAGTCAAACACTCCATAACCATTTGGTTTGAATTGACAAAATATCGACAGCATAGTGTAGCTAACAAGTTTGTCAGGATCATTGATCTATTCATAGCTTCGATGAACGTTTGCATGCCATCGAATTTACAACCTATATCCAGGCCAGTGAGTAAAGTGAAACGCTGGGAAGCCACAGAAGATCAAAAGTGTCTATTGCTTATTAGACCAGCAATTTTGATGGATCTTTCACTGCAAGTGTTATGTAACAGTTTCATAGAAATTCCTGTAAGTTTGTACTGCTTATGTCATACCGAGTTACGGAAGTTGTATATAGAACTCATCAAATAGCAGCTGCTTCATTTTGTAATTCACGTCGTTTGCATCTATAACCGGAGTAAAGTTGTGTATTCTGTCTGAAAAATGTGTCTGACGACGTTATACTTGCTTTTTTATGTTTCACTTTGAAGTATATGTGATGAGGTTACTGCTGAACCTTTTCGTATCAAACTGATAACCTATCCGATTAAGCTCAAGCCATTCTGGCTAACCAACGCAGAAGCCGGTTTCTGAGGCTTTGACCTCACAAATCCACTTTCACAACTTGTTTTGTTATTATGACTGCCGCGGCAATTAAACTGGTAAATTATAGGATACATATGTTATCCTGACGTAAGCGATCCTCCAACGCCACTTAGAATAGCTGTTTTGACGAAAAGTGATCTCAAAAACTGTTGGTGAGTGGATGAATTGCTTCATAACATGGAGCTACGGAACGGTTCATCTGCTTATTTGGTCGTACGAATGCGAGAAGTAATTGACCAACTAACGCTTGATTATTGTCGTTCCCCGCAAACTGTTTCTTTTTCAAAACTACCAAAGCCGGTGGGAACAATGATGACAGCTCTTCAGTCGGTTGCAATCAATTACCTTGAAGCGTCAGCTAATAAGATATTGGAAATATCTTTTTTGACCTGAATATAAAGTTTGTTCAGCAGCATCTCCGCTAGTGAAGTCCTCTCTCTCATGCCAGAGATTATTGCACTAAGAACTTTCTACAGTGGCCTTTACGGAGAACTGTTTCTGTCGAAACTGTGACAACAGAGGGGAACTGTTTTAGTGACGCTTCAGTGAGTTCCAATCGATGGCTTGGCAGCCTAAGTTGATAAAATGCTGGAGATCACTTTCAGAGCTGTCTCCGAAATATATTCCGTCCGTTTAAAAACTTGAGAGCCAGGGTTCAGAAGTGCATCTCTTCTAAACAGGTGCTACGAACCCGAAGTCCTGGGTTACTTGGCACATCAGAGGAATGCGTCTCAGTCCATCGCGGCATTTCACGTGGTTGTCCATAAACAAAACCTAACAGGGTGGAAAAACCTAAATGGCACTGGTGTCACAATACCTATGGGAACGAAGCCAGCAACCGCTGGAAGCCATGTGGTTTCAACACTTGCAAACTCGGGGAAATCCCCTGCCAGTATGTGTTCACGACAACTGTAGCCAGCAGAAAAAGCCTTTTGGTGCACGCCACCAACTTAAAAAAGAAAGTCCTCTACGTCGCCGACACCGGCGCAGAAGTCAGAGTTCTTCCTGCATCGACAAAAGAGCGTCATCATAACCCATCCTCCACTCTTCAAGCAGCTAACAGCAAAGCGATCACAACCTTTGGGAGGCGGTATACCTAGCTCAACTTAGGATGACGTGAACCTATTCACTGGATTTTCCCCCCAGCTGATGGTTCTGTGCCCATCATTGGTATACATTTGCTGGGGCATTACCATCTACTCTTGGCTACTCATCGTCGGCGACGCATGGATAACAACACAAGGTTGTCCATTGACGGCGACACCCACATAAGTCCAGGTTTAGACATTGTCAGCACTAAGCACCTAGCCGACGCGCCCTATCAAGCAGTGTTAGAGAAATATCTAGAGTTACAGCAACCAAAGTGTACTCTTCCGTGCGTAACCAGCAGTGATATGCATCATGTCACAACCACAGGTCCACCTGTGGCATCCAATGCACTCCATCCAGCTCAAAACGTGGGTTCGACGAGATGCTCAAACTGAACACTATCAAACCTTCAAGTGGTCCTTAGGCATCACCATTGCATATGGTTCCCGAAAAGGACAGCAGCGACTGGCTTCCATCCGGTGACTACCGAAGGCTTAACGCCAAAACGACACCAGACTGCTACCCGATACCCCATGTTTACGACTTGACTGCGACGTTATGCGGAATGAAAATATCCTCCAGAATCGATCTAGTTGAAGCGTACAATCAAATACCCATGGCATCAGAAGATACCTCGGAAACAGCTATTGTTACTCCCTTTGGCTTGTTTGAATTTTTGCGCATCCCTTTCGGTCTTCAGAATGCGGCACAAGCATTCCAACGCTTTGTGGATGATGTCCTCAGTGGTTTAGATTTTTCCAGTGTCTACATCCCCGACTGTCTCGCTGTTAGTTCAGATGAGGAAACTAACCTTAAACATTCGGACCTCGTATTCATTAGGCTGTAAAAACATGACATCACAGTCAACGTGCTGAAGCGTGAAATTTGAGTCGATTCACTCAGTTCCCTTGGGCATACTACTGAAAAAACTGTCTACGTCCATTGAGATATAAAGCGGCGGCTATCATGAACTATCCACAGCCGACCACTGTGAAGCAGCCCCGGCCTGGTAAGTTATTATCGAAGGCTTGCTCCCAGACGTGCCTCTGTCATGAGACCACTCACGTATTTACTTCGAGGTACCAGGATGTGCGCATCTCTATATAACGTGACTGGGCTTGCTTTCTGTAAAGTCAACGAAGTAAGTTCAAACCCAACCATGCTTACGCATCACGGCTCCAATGCTCTTTTGATACAGCCGACTCAGCAACTGGAGCAGTTTTGCGACAGTTGACTGAAAACCAGTGACAACCTTTAGCCTTTTTCTCAAGGTGGCTACAGGAGGCAGAAACAACGTACACTACATTTGGTAGAGAACCCCTAGTTATGTACTGTTCTGTACGCCACTTTCGATGTTCTTTGGAAGGTCGTGACTTCATCATTTTCATAGACCACAAGCTTTTAACTTTCTCCCTTCCTTCGGCGCCTGATAAATACTATCCGCGTGGGTGGCGACAACTGGGTTGTATTTCCCAGTTCGCATCAGACGTCCGCCACATTTTTGAAGCAAATGACTCCGCAGCCGACGCACTAAGGCGAATAGCTTCGGTAAACCATATCGAAGGTGTTGATGTCGTTAGACTAGCTCTGTGTCAGAAAGGAGATCTTGAGCTATGCCATGAGTTGTCCACAACTCTCAGGCACAACTGTGCCCAGTGGGATTAGGCAAAGATGCAATTTTATACCATGTCTCTGCTAGTCAACCACGCCCAAAAGTTCTGAAGAAATGCTGACGTCTCCAGTACGTTGCACTAACTACCCCACCTAGGTGTACGAGCCACCATCAGGCCTACTGCACAACGTTTCTGCTGGCCGGGAATGAAGAAAGATGTTAAGGAATGGGCTCAGTTGTGCTTAGCTTGTCAGAAGTGCAAAGTCGCACGACACACGAAAGGCTCTTTTGGTTCTTTTCTAGCCCAGACATGATTTTCGACCTAGTCCACACAGACATTGTAGGACCTCTACCAGAATCTAATGGGTGTGATCACCTTTTCACTTGCCTGGATCGTTTTACGCGATGGCCAGAAGCAGTACCTATTAAGAATATTACTGCTGAGACAGCAGCTCGTGCTTTCGTCGAAAGATGGATGGAGAACTTTGGATGTCCATCACGTAACAACCGACCGTGCGCGCCAATTAGAGTATGGATTATTTTTACGTTTTAACTGCACTTTCGGGTTTCACCCCGTCCCGAACGACACCCTCCCATCCACAAGCAAATGGCATGGTAGAACGTTTCCATAGGTAATTGAAAGCTTCCTTTTCAGCTGCGAGCCTACGTCAGTGAACCGTGGTTGAGCCTCTAGTCCTACCCGGTATTCGTAACGCGTTGAAAACTGATGCTGGATGCAACTCCGCAGAACTCGTCTATGAGACTACTCTTCGCTTACCAGGTGAGTTGGTTTCCCCTTCAACCCTTCAAAGTGCTGTTGACAAGACACGTTAAGTGGTTGGGCTAACAGACGCAGTACGTTCAGTTGGGCCCACTGCTGTTAGACCTCAAACAACCGATGTCTTCGTTCACCCCCTTTTTTCAAAAGACATCGCACGTGTTTATTCTCCATGATGCCATGCAACGACCACTTGAACCACCTTATGATGGACCATTCAAAGTGATCGAGCGGCATGTGAAATTCTACACAGATGGGGCGAACGGGCGTGAAGATACTATTGGCATCCGCCGTTTGAAACTACCTTCTTCCGAAGGCAGCCCAATCACAAGTGACGTTTTAGTTCACTGTCACCGACCGGCAGACAGCCCATCGTCAAAACCACTGATGGCGTGCCTGGTAATACACACATGCTACAACCACCGGCACAGCGAAAACACGATCAGGTAGAACTGTCGGGCTCCGGAGCACTGAAAGACATGTTCAACTAAATGAAGCGAGTTAAAATGTCCCCAACAGTTTTTAATCTTTTTTCGAGGCACCATTATTTTGCTTACTAAGAATGGGAAAATTATTCTACATTTTATTTTTTTGTACTCATTTTTTACTACCACATAAGCACACTTTAGAAAAATAAGATGGAAATTAGCA